TGAGTTGTGAATGAGATATTTTTAGCAGTTGTATAGTCCTGTAGATGACAAAATACTTTAAAATTCCTATGAAATGAACAGTAGACAACTTTAATTTACATTATTTTATGTTTGTGTGAGTGTAGGCATTCTCTTTCTTTAAAGCTTTTAGGGCTACTTCATGTTTTTGGATGATCAAAACACTGGTCACAGTGGGAAAAACCTTACAGGTCTCTGAACATTTTATTTCCGGGAGAATGAGAAATCTCAAAAAATTATTTAGGAGTGAAAAGCAACTGCAGTAGTACTTGGAAGCTAAATTTTTTTTATTTACACAAGAGGAAAGCAGATAGAGTAAAAATCAACCCACAGTGAGTCCATTCGAAGTTGTAGACATTAAAAAGCCATGCTTCTTGTCTCCTTCATATTTCATGGAGTGTGGCTGCTGCAAAAATTGCTCATTTCCTGCTTCAGTTTCTGTAAGAAGTGCTGGTGACAATAACTGATGTGCCTACCAATGCTCAAAAAGCAAGCTTAACAGTAGATTCACTGGAATTCTAATGAATGATCTTGCTTCTTATGCCTTGGGTTGTTACCAAGTGAAATTTAAATTTAAATCCTAAATAATTTTTTGAGATTTCTCATTCTCCCGGAAATTAAATGTTCAGAGACCATTGGTACCTTAGTTGGCTGCTCATCAGCTTATGAGACCGAAGTCACTACTCATTAAAGTAGGAGGTAGAACATTGTCTTTGTCAACTACATCCTACCAGTTGATTTTGGTGTCCCTGGCACTGTGGCACTGATCCCCGAGGCCTAGTGACTCATTTCCTCAGTGTGTTTGATTATGTCTAAGAAGTTTTCAGAACTTTGCTTCATGTAGCTGAATAATTTCTCATAATATACATTTTCTGTGAATGTTTTGAAGATCCCTCTTATATCTACTCAGCCTTTGGAATCTGGGGAAGAGCTGTCCATACTCAATGACGGAGTATCCTCCATGATGAATGGAGGCAAAGACCAGTGATCCAGTAGGAGAGTCTGGCAAGATGCAGGGCATGAGCTGCCAAGTTCATTGGGGCCAGGGCTGCCACAGTTGGAGCGGCAGGCTCTGGAGCTGGCATTGGGACTGTGTTTGGGAGCCTCATCCTTGTTTATGCCAGGAACCTGTCTCTGAAGCAGCAGCTCTTCTCCTACGCCATCCTGGGCTTTGCCCTCTCAGAGGCCATGGGCTTTTCTGCCTGATGGTGGCCTTCCTCATCCTCTTCGCCATGTGAATGAGCCTTCTTCACCTCCCATAGTTCTCTGTTCCACCTCTTGTCTGCCCTGCATGTTCCTTTCCCTGCACCTCCCCAGGCAGCCTGGGGAAAGTAATTGGCTCAGGGTTTGACAGAGGGAAGACAAATAAGTACTGTATTAATAAAGATGTTTCTTGAGAAAAAAAGATGCAGGGCATGATAAATCCTATTAAGGAAACTGCTTAAGAGTTTTAACCTCACGTGAGTCAGAGGCACAGGAGGCAGTTCAGCCATTGCTATTGAGAAGGTAGAGGAGCTGCAGATACAGAGCAGCCCAAGGAGAGACGGAGGTGTGGAGGTGGCACAGAGCATGGCATTGAGCATGCTTACGAAGAGAAACTTCTGAAAAATAAGAAGTGCTGTTAGAATAGAAGAGCGTTGCAGCAGCAGTGGACTGTTAACTGGCAGGCATGTCTTTTTAAAATTTTTTTTAAATAAGTAGAAATTGAGGCATAAACTTGTTAAATGACTTACCAATTGGTGCCAAAACCCTTTAGTACAAGTCTTTCCCACTGTGCCACACTGCTTCTAAGAGTTTGAAGATGCTGAGCTTGTTAATCATTTATTTTGCTCAAGTGCAAAGCAGGTGGAGCCCTGGTCATGTAGTGGATTATTATGCCTTGGGCTGCTAATCACGAGGTCGAAACCACTAGCGGCTCCAAGGAGAAGGATGAGGCTGTTTACTCTCTAAAGAGTTACTGTCTTAGAAACCCATAGGAGCAGCCCTACCCTGTCCTGTAGGGTCTCTGTGAGTCAGAACTGACTTGATAGTGATTTTTGGTTTTACAAAGTGGATAAGTAAATGATGAGATTTAAGGAAATGAAGGATAGCAGAGATGATAGGGAAAATCTGGAAATTTGAGTTAGGAATGTAGGCTGAAAAGTAACAACAACAACAATGCAAAAGAAGATAAAATGTTAAAAAAATGTTTTGTATGTTTCTTGCCTTCTGTGAAGGCAGGTGGATCTACTCAATCATACTTCTTAGAGCTAGACAAAAGACTATGAGAGCCATAAGCATATATCCTATTTTCAAATATTCTATTGTCTTTCTATAAATCATCCAAATGGATTAGCTATTTAAGGATTTGAGTTCAAACTATCCCCAGATCATCTGAAAAGAGTTAATCATAAACTGTCTTCATTTTTGGTTTGGAAAACAAACCACTGTTCTATGTGACCTCTGAGGTGATCTCAGTGTGGGATTCTCTATGAAAGTGGAAAGATGTGTTTCTTAGGAGAAAGTAGTACAATAAGACCCATGAAAGTGAAAATGTATGTAAGGTAGGAAGCAGTCAGAGAAGGAAAACCAAGCGTCTTCCACCGGGCAGTAGAAGAGTAGTAAACTGCCCTCTCTCAAAGGTGGGTGACTCGAGAATCCCTGAAACCAGGCCACCTGCTGAGTTCTCACAGGTCTCATGGTAGCCATTAAGGCTTTTATGTGGTGGGAATGCCTGTTATGTGTTGATAAACTGAAAGAATATGTCTGCTAAAATTAAAACACTAAGAACACATTTTATAAAGCTGTATTTATTGCAGATAAAGTACCAAGAACAATGAATCTAAGACTGTTGAAAGTCTTAGAATCTAAGTGGTTATGATGAAACTTGTGTGAATGAGTGGTGAAGTCCCTGATAGTTTGCAAAAGGCTCAAGGGGACAGGGTTCCAAAGAAAGTCGGTTTACGTATGAATAACTCATTTTAACAAGGGGCAAGATGATGTTAGAGAGAGCTCCCCGTGGCAGACTGTCCACATCACTTTCAAGGAAGCAATCACATTGCTTCACCCACGACTGTCCTTTGAACTGGAACAGACTGTGTTCTCCGCCTGAGAGGCATGGCAATCAGGACTGGGCCCCATCTGGTAAAGTGTTGCTTTGTTTATGTCCTGTGACTGCTTAGAGGTCTGAGGGATGGCTGTTCTTATTCTACCATGTGAGGTGTGGTTGGAAGACTGAATTGGATAAAAAGAGAGGGCCTTGTCACTGCCAGACTGCTACCACCCAGCAGGAATCCCATCAGTGCTTTTTTCAAATTTTGGAACCTTGAGAGGAATACATGGTATCCAGGGAACTGACTTTTACTGGGCTAGCTAGCTGCCCCACAGCAGTAGAGGGGTGGGACAGCCCAAAGACAGGTCAAGTTGGGTCTGGGAATAGGGAAGACATTGAGGTGGTTATTTTGTTCTGGAATGTGACTCTGCTAGCTCTGCCCAGTGCTCCCTCTTCTAACTCCTTTGTGCAGATGTCTGTGAGAAGGGAGAGTATCTCCGTTCTGCACCCTTTTGGAGCTGGAAAGGTTGTGCTCCTGAGGATAGGGCTCAGATGTGAGACTGTACTGGGAAGAGGAATACAGAGGTGGCCAGAGGGTGGCTGTGGAAGCCAAGTGTACGAGAGCTGGCTAAGACTTGGCAGTCTGGGCATTTGGCAATGAGTGGCACTGTTGATTAAGCATTGGACTCTGACTACAAAGTCAATGGTTCAAACCCACTAGCAGCTCCCCCCCGCCCCCACTGCAGGATAATGATGACGCTTTCTGCTCCTATAAAGATTTACAGCCTCAGAAACCCTTACATGGTATGGATATGGGTCAGAACCGATTTGATAGCAGTGGGTTGAGTTTGAAGAACACAAGAGTGGTGAGGGTAACTAACAGCAGGACCTCCAGATGCAGGTCCTCTGGACCTTGTTGCCCCATGGTCCTGACAGAAAACCTTTTCCTTTTAGGATCATTTCCTTTAGGCATGGCTAAATGAGATGCACTGGACTGGTTTAAGGATATAGTAGGATGAGTCGCTGCTTTTGACAAAAATTACCGAGTTCAGCATTAAGTATAGCATATCAGTTTACAGAGAGTAGGATAAAATTACACATTAGGCTGTTAACCTTAAGTAAGGTCAGCAGTTTGAACCAGCAAATGCTCCTTGATGGAAAGATGAGTCTTTCTGCTTTCTGTAAAGAATTTTAATCTCAGAACCAAAGGGGCAGTTCAGCCCTGAAGGGTTACTATTAGTTGGAATCAACTCAATAGCAATGAGTTTAGTTTTGAGTTTTTTTAGTGCCCCTTTTTAAGTACAAGGGAAGACTATAGGAGGAAGGGTCACATTTCCTCAAGTAAAGACATCTGTTAGCACAGGTTTGGGTAGTGTTTTATTCTGTTGTTCAGAGGGTTGCTGAGCCAGAACTGACTTGCAGCACTTAACAAAAACAATGCATAGAAGAATATTCAGGGTCTAGAGAGCTCTGGTGATGTGTAGTGGTTCCATGTTGGGCTGTCATTTGTAAGGTCATCAGTTCAAAACCAGCAGGCTCTCTGTGGGAGAAAGACAGCTTTCTATTCTGGTACACAGTTACAGTTTAGATTGTACTATAGAATTGTATGATACTTGGATTGTGTCCCAATAAAACTGTTTATATACGAGGGGTACCCAAAAGACGCTGGAATCAAGCTCCACTGGGAGCTTTCATAGTACATATTTTTCTCGCTTAGAAAACATTGAGCAGCTCACTCTGAGTTGGTGTATCCAGTGGCATTTCCTGGGAAGATTCTCTTTTGTCATGGTGAATTTTTTCGTGAAAGCATTTTCGCTCAAATGTCATCTTTTGTGATGGCCAATTTAAGAGAACAGCGTGTGGTTGTGTAATTTTGTTTCCTGCTTGGGAAAAATGCCGCAGAAACTGTTGTGATGTTGAGCACAGCTTACAAGGACAGTGCCATGGGAAAAATTCAAGTGTACAAGTGCTTTTCTCATTTCAAAAAAGGTGAAATGTAGATTGATGACAAACCTCATTCTGGATGTCCGTCAACTTTCTGAACAGACGAAAATGCAACAAAATGCATGCACTTGTGCTCAAAGACCAACAACAGACTGAGGAGATGGGGAAGTTATCTGGGTTTTGTTTTCTTTTGTACCCTCGTGTGTGTGTGTGTGTGTGTGTGTGTGTGTGTGTGTAAAGTTGCAGTCTTGGGAACCCACAGGGGCAATTCTACCCTGTCTTACAGGTTCACTGTGAGTCTGCATTGAGTTGATGGCAGTGAGTAGAGAGTTAAAGCCCAACAGAACTTTCTGTCACTAAAGGGGAAAAATGCAACCATGATTCTACCTGTTGAAAGTGACAGAAAGTGGGGAAGGCGGGGAGGAAGGGGGAACCTATTGCAACGATTAATGCATTAATGAAACATGGGTGAAGGGAGACAGTGGTTGGTGTAAGATATGAAAATAATAATTTATGATTTATCAAGGGGTCTCCAGGGGGACAGGGAGGGAAAAAAGAGGAGCTGATACCAAGGGCTCAAATAGAAGGTAAATGTTTAGAAAATGATGGCAACATATGTACAAATATGCTTGATACAATTGATGTATAGAATGTTGTAAGAGCTGTAGGGGCCCCCAATAAAATGATTTTTTTTAAAAAAAGTGACAGAAACTTAGCCCAAACAACAAAGAAAACTTCATTTCCATTGAGTTGATTCTGACTAGTGGCCCTAATAAGACGGGGTGGAACTGCCTGTGTGGGTTTTGGAGGCTGTAACTTTGCGGGAGTAGGAAGCCTCATCTTTTTCTCACTGGTAGTTTCAAACTGGTAGTTTCAAATGGCTGACCTTGTGGTAGGTGGTTCAAGGCATCACCACTGTGGGGGAAAAAAGCATTGATTCCTGTTATTGAATAGTTCATAGGTAGGCCTGACTCCTGAGGTATGACTGAATTTATATCTTAATTATTCTGTAAATTCTTGATTTCTCTTCTCTGTGGTTTCGATTTGTATATTTCTAATGACAGAAGCTTTTGAACATCTTTGGGCTTATTGGTCATTTGTATATCTTATTTCGAAAAATGCCTGTTCAAGTCCTTTGTTCATTTTTAATTGGGTTGCTTGTCTTTATATTGTTAAATTATAGGAGTTCTTTTTATATTCTGGATATTAAACCCTTATCAAATAGGCGGTTCTCAAATATGTTTCCCATTTGTGTAGGTTGCCTTTTCATTTTTTTGATAAAAGTCCTTTGAATCACAAGTTTTAACATTGATGAGGTCTAGTTTATTGATTTTGCCTTTTGTTGCTTGTGCTTTTGGTGTAATAGCTAAGAACCCATTGTTGAAACTCGAATCCAGAAGAAGTCCCCTTATGTTTTGTTCCTAATAGAGTTTTAAAATGTATGTCATTGTCTTATTTGGAGTTAATCATAATATATAATGTGGGGTAGAGATCTAATTTATTTATTTTTTTCCAATTGTAAATCCTCCTGCATTCTCCCTTACCCCTTATTTGATTCTTAAGGTTTGTGAACTATTCCCTAGACCTATTTGACCATACCCAACTTGTGTATCAGAAGTTCTGCTGATGTTTACAATATATATCCATCTAACAAAATTTAACTCTTTTTTTCCAGGTAATTTATCCGCAGCATTCCAAGCTTAGTGATAAAGAAGTAAGTAAAAAATATTACCTTGTATAGCCTACTGTTGTATTTCTGTTTGTTTTTATTGGTGTATGTGTGTCAGCATATATAGCTTTTGTTTTCTTTTTCAGAAAACCAATATTTGCTATTTGTCTTTTCCAGATTCAAATTCAGGTAACTATTTTTTCATGTGGTATTTCTTCTGCATTTTATTTTAGCAATATTGAGTCTACTCCTAATATGTGAAAAGTAATTGAAATACCATATTAGCATGCAAATTGAAATTTCAGTCCAACAGATCTCAGTAGTTTTGATTGACTAGTTTTATTATAAACAGTCTTGTCATTGCTATTTTTATTTAATTCAACTTTCAAAATAAACTGGTATGATGTAATGAGGTAAAACATCAAAGAGCTGTTGAAATAGTGCAGAGATAGAAAATCAATGACAGTCATATGTTTGAGGGAGTCAGAGTAGTGGTTTATGCTTAGTTCAAGGTTTGAGAACTTGCAAAGAACTCTGTAAAAGCAACCTGGTTGGGCCCATCTGCTTATGAAACAAGACCATCAGTTTGCAGTAGTTTATGTGAGCTAGTATATATAAAGTGCTTAGAATAGTACCTGGCCTATAGAAAGACACTGTATTATAAACTTCAGCTGTTTTTAAGCTAAATTCTACTGCTCTCTTTCAAACTCTCCATTTGTGTGGTCCTAATTGTTAAAACCTTTCAGCCTTCCTCTTGTGTTTCACTTTCAAAACAGCTTTTCAGGCACAGAGCAACTTCTTGGACCACACACAGAACCCTTCAAAGCAGGGACACTCCTGTCCCCCCTACTGCCCCCCCCCCCCTTTTTGTGGTTACTGCTCACATCCTGTTAAGTGAATTCAGTTTATCTGATTTGGGAAATTTGACATTAAATTTTGCAGGGTTGCCATTAAATGCTTGTAGGGTTTTTTCCTTATATACTTGAAGCTCAGCCCTGCTCAAAGAAAAGTAATGCTTTTCTATAATACACCTTACCCTTGAGAGATTCCAGTAGGACTCTAGTTTTGACCTAGGGTCATTAAATCTTCAGGATGTTTTACATATGAATGAAAATAAAGCCAGAGATCTTGTAGGAACTATCCTTGTTTTAGTTACCATTTTCTTGATTAAATCTGCACATCTGATTCTGAATATTGGGATTGTTGGCTGGGAGTTCTTGGGCTCAGGGTAAGCTGAGTGACTTTATGGTTAGTTAGCACCAGCGGATTGTACTGCACACTCTTTCTTCTCTTTATGGTTGGAGCTGGCTGTCATGGCTTCCTCCTCTATTGGCCTCTTTATTGGGCATCAGGGCTGAGAAATTAATAACATGGAGTTTGGATTAGATTGCCTTTTTAAATTTTTATTTTGTGATCAGTCTCTCCATATATTGTTTTCTTGTTAGAAGTTAATCTCCAGGGCTAATCTGTGTAAACAGAACTTTTCAGGAGTGTAGGTGTATAAATGACCCACAGATGTTTTATGATACCTTTTTATAAGCAGCACATCAAACGAAGTGTGGTTAGTACTTGGGCCAGTGAGATTGTCAAGCTGTCTTGAAAGCAGGCACCTTGCCATTTTAACAAATGAACATTAATCTAGACCGCCAAGAGACTGTGTGTTATTATGCATTTGTGATCACAATTGCCAGTTGTAATTATGCACACAGTGTATTTCTTTTATGTATATATTAAACAAAAGTTAAGATTATTGTGCCAACTTGGTAAGGGATTTAATTTTTCCCAAAATAGCTTTTCTTGCTATGGAAGGAAGTGTAGGCACAGTAAAGCAATCTTTAGGAAAGAGTCATGAACAAGACTTCGTTTCCATGGTGCACACTTAAAAAAAAGGAAAGTACTATTTTAGATGGTATGACTAGCTGTATATAAAAATAAAAGAAGAATGCATTTGAAGTTTCTGGTGACAAGGCTTGCCAGTCTCTTCCTTCACCCTCCCACCCCAATATGCCTTAGGGTCCTGTGACTTTAGAAGAAAAACATGTGTATTTTGTTTTTAGGTTTCAGTTCCTTGTCTCAGTTGAATGATGGCTTAACTTAAATTTAGTGTGCCTTCTTTTCTGATAAGTATTGGTCAGATTCCCCCACACACACACACACACAACTCTCCACAATTGATGGGTGCTCAAGGACCTTTAAACATGTTTAGAGGGAAAACACAACAGTAGTGGAAAGTTTGTAGCATTGATGAAGGAAAGATTAATCCTGGTCTTGAAACTGAATTGATGTGCAGACAGTGTTCTGTAAACAGCAAGGACATCATCATATACGTTGCCCCTTCCCAGGGGCTATAGCAGTGCTTCTCACTATGTCTGACAGGTTAAAGGCCTGGCTTGGATTTTGAAATGAGCAATCTGTTGTGGAGCAATACTTTGGTAAGATGCAATTTAAATGACTTATTAGAAAAATGAAATGGGAAAAGTAAAAGTTGTAAACTAAAACTCAAAAATTGCCATGGCAGTTTTTATTATATATTTATATATATCATATATATCACATTATTATAAAAAGGTTACTCCATGCTTACTCTCAATATGTATATTTACTTGGAAATGGGTTAATAACAAGAGTTTGTGGACCAGTCAGAGTCTAAGGACCACACTTTGAGTAGCTTTGGTCTAAAGCACTGGTTCTCTCCATCCAGTCATCTTAACCACAGGGAGTCTTGGTTACATGGAGCTGAAAGTCAAGATATGGGGCTAGCTCTTGAAGCTTTCTTTTTTTACTGTAGTCTTATGCATTGTCATTCACTCTGTAGCTGTATTTCTGTTAATGCAAAAATAATCATTTCAAGCTTTCTATTACTTTCAGCAAGCTTTGAGTTATCTTATTGGTATAAGAAGTTATTCTCAAAAAAAAAGAAGTTATTCTCTGTTTACCTGTAGCTTAGCAGTTTCTTTTTCTTTTTTATTAATCATTTTATTGGGTGCTCGTACAACTCTTATCACAATCCATACATCCATCCATTGTGTCAACCACTTTTGTACTTTGTTTCCTTCATCATTCTCAAAACATTTGCTTTCGACTTGAGCCCTTGGTATCAGCTCCTCATTTTTCCCCCTCCCTCCCCACCAATCCCTCCCCCACGAACCCTTGATAATTTATAAATTATTATTATTTTGTCATATCTTATACAGTCCGACGTCTCCCTTCACCCACTTCTCTACTGTCTGTTCCCCAGGGAGGGGGTTATATGTAGATCCTTGTAATCGGTTCCCCCTTTCTTCCGTACCTTCCCTCCACCCTCCCGGTATTGCCACTCTCACCACTGGTGCTGAGCGGTTCATCTGTCCTGGATTCCCTGTGTTTCTAGTTCCTGTCTGGATTTGTAAGGTCGAATTGGGATCCTGATAGTGGGGGGGAGGGAGCATTCAACAACTTGAGGAAAATTGTATGTTTCATTGTTGCTACCTGCACCCTGATTGGCTCGTCTCCTCCCCGTGGCCCTTCTGCAAGGGGATGTCCAGTTTCCCACAGATGGGCCCTGGGTCCCCACTCTGCACTCCCCCTCATTCACAATGCCATGATTTTTTTTGTTCTTTGATGCCTGATACCTGATTCCCTTTGACACCTTGTGATCTTACAGCCTAGTGTGCTTCTTCCATGTGGGCTTTGTTGTTTCTCAGTTAGGTGGCCGCTTGTATATTTTCAAGCCTATAGGACCCCAGATGCTGTATCTTTTGATAACCGGGCACATCAGCTTTCTTCAGCACATTTGCTTATGATCTTGTCGGGATAGGCTGGTGTGCTTCTTCCATGTGGGCTTTGTTGTTTCTCAGCTAGATGGCCTTCTGTTTATCGTCAAGCCTTTAAGACCCCAGGTGCTTCAATATGAGTTGAAGAGGTAAAGGAAGCTCGGAAAGTATTCTGCCCTTGATAATTGTAAAATAGGAGGTTACTTCCTGGAGTTCCAAATGATGTTCAAAAAGGAAGAGCCATGGCTTAGCTGAAAGATGGGCTCCTTACTTTGGAATCAATTAATGGCATAGAGGGCAGTGAGTTAAGATTTCTGTTATCTAAGGGGCATTTTCTGGAAAGAGGGTTTTTTTTGGTGAAGATTTTTATTTGTTTGAAACAAAGAAACCTTTAATTTCTGCTCTCGTCAATGGAGTGGTATTAAGAAGCAGACAAAAACCACTTTGAGGATAATTCGCCGACCACACAATTCACTCATATAAAATGTACACTCTCATGAGTTTTTGTATGCTCACAGAGGTGGGCAGCCATCACCACAGTCACCAGAAAGAAACCTGTACCCTATTTCCTCACTCCCACAGCCGCAGGAGACTCTTGACCTGCTTCTTGTCTCCTGGGTTAGCTTTGTTTTCCACCTACGGCAAGTTCAAGATGGAGGACGAAGGAATAGCCAGATAAGGAGTTGACATTTCCTCAGTTACCTTTAATGTTCTAAGGAACAGCCCTCTGAGACATAAACTGGGAGCCTTGCCTTTCACAAGGACACTGTGGCATTGGTCATTCAGTGGTAAAATCCTGACCTCCCACAAAGACACTGCCTAAAGCCTTGACCAAGGGACCTCCTGGCTAACTCTTCACAGCTTGAGGGGTAAGGTGAAATGATCCTTTTCATAAAATATCCTGTGTGTACCTTCTTCTCTGTGGCCCCCCTCATTTCCTTCTTTTCTTCCTTTCTCTCTTCTTCATTCTCTCCCTCCTTTCTTCCCTCCCTCTCGCCCTTTCTTTCTTTTTCAGATGAGACATGTCTAAAAAGAAAAATGGAGTCATCAATGTACAACTTCATTGAAATAAAATAAGGTTATATCTATAGCAGAGAATATTTCTCATTATCTCAAGTTCTATTTATTTGCCTTGTGATTGTTCAAATATCTACTTTGACAAGTAAGGGATGGAATTAATCTACCCTCTAGTTCCCATTGTTTGTAGAAATAACAACTTCTAGAATTGAAATTAGTTGTACCTGTTCACGGATCCCTAATAACATACTAAGTTGTTTTTCTTTTGTAAAATTTAAGAAAATTGTTTGTTTTTCTATTTTCTTGAAAACTTAATGGCTAAAAAAACAGAAGTACTTCTGAATGTAATAATGAATAATAGTAATAAACATGCTCATTTTATATTTGATTATAACCTTATTAGTAAAATGTAAAGGAGTCTCGTTGTGCTGTGGGTTAGGCATTGTGCTGCTAACAGGGTCAGTGTTTTGAGCCCACTTTTTGCACTGCAAGAGAAAGACAGGCCATCTGGTTCCATAGAGATTGATCGTCCTGGAAACCCTATGTAGAGTTGATTTGAGTTGGAATCAACTAAATGGCTGTTGGCAGTGGGTGGGTGGGTGGGTAGTTCTTCTAAATATAGTAAATAAGAATTTAAGTAATTAGCTACTCCATGTATCTTTAAATAGATATCCTCTCTTATGTTGGTTTTTTGAAAAATAAAGTTAGCACTATCTAAGTTTTAAATATATATGTATATGCATAGCCATATAAGCTCATGAAATAGAGTTTTGCCAAAACCTCTAATGCTTCCTCAAACTCCCTCCCAGAGACTATTCCCGTACTCCAAATGTTACCACTATTCTGACCCATAGTAATAAGTTTCTTACTTTTCTTCATAGTTTACCCAGCCATGAATCCCTAAACACTGTAATTTAGTTTTGTGTTTTTGGTCTGCTTTCTTTTTTTGACCTTTGCATAGAGTCAAATAGTATTTGTTCTTTTGTATGTAACATTTCTTGCTCATTATGATTTTTGTAGCAGCTTACATGAAAACAGTTTGCTAAACAACAAAAGATTAATTACATGTACAAAATGGAATTAGAAAAAAAAGTAAAGGGACTTGGGGATTAGGATTCATGTTTTACTGAATCCCAGCTGTTAAAAATTGACTGACACAGGCATTGAACTCTCAGGGTTTTTTGTTTGTCTTTAAACTATGGAAGAATGGGTTAAAATCATCTCTATGATCCCTGAATCTGGATAAATAAATGCTAAGCTAAACTGTACTTAATTTCTTTCATTTTTGTTTTCATTAGGTTGTCTTGGAGATACCCAGTTTTGTTTTAGATTTCGACAGTCTTCTGGGCGGAGGATGTCACTACATTGTCTCCTGGATCAATTTGACAAAGATTTACCAGTTTACTTAAAGGTTGGAAAGTAATAATAGAAAAAAATGTCTTATGTGAAAGGAAACTTTAGGACTCAGTTATTCCGTTATCTCTAATAGCATTCAGAAACATTTATTATTGTTTTGTTAATGTAGTATATAGCTGGATTTTCTGAGTAGTCTAATTCATAAGAATTTGCATGGGAATAAAAACAATCTTATAAAGTTACTGAGAATGACATATATTAAAAATCCCATTGAGAATCTAGAAATAGATTAGAATGTTCTCTTCATTTGTTGGTAACACTTTGTAGATGTGGGCATACCAGTAAATATCACTCAGAATTTAAATAGTTATCACTCCTGTGGTGTTCCCTGCAAACTTTATGATAACATTTGTAGTTGTTTCTCTTTGTTTCTAGGCAGACTTTGTTTTACTATTTTTAATTAAAAAAAAATTTTTTTTTACTGTTTGCTTTTAAAGACAACTACGGTAATTCAGGTGATCCCAGCTCTAGTATTAAATTAAAAAATTGGCGCTTGGGGGGTGAAGGGACCAGCCCCCACTCGCTGCTTGAACTCACTGGTTCAGTAATACTACTTCTGAGTTCAGTAATGCACAATTTTACAGTTGAGATATATAAATATTATATTAAAGTCATCGAGAGCATGAGAGATAATACAATAATACAGTCAGACATATTACATGGTAACATTGCTCACCTCCGCCCCGCTTGGTGGTCCTCGTTGGGGGGAACCCGGCTGCTAGAGCAGGAGCCGCCTCCCTCGCGGGACCTGCCCTCTCGTCCACCGCTGTCATGGGAGCAGCCCTCCTTCCTCAGCCGCCCTCTGCCAGCCATCCTCGGCCAGCCACCCTCGGCCAGCCACCTCTTGGGAGGCCTCCCCTTGAGAAGCAGCTCTCCTTATTTATTGCTAACCACGCATCATATTACTTTAAGGGGATACATCACAGCATTATGCGTCACAGAGAAGGGCAGTACAATTCATTCTTGAACAGGTTTGATCATTCTAGTGTCTCATACAATAAAGCTGGCAATTACTATCTTGGGAGGCATGCAAGCCCCCTGATAGCAGATAACAACCTATGTCATAGAGAGGGGTTGTAACATAGGCAATACAAGCAATAGGAGGGGGATGACCTAGGGGTGAATGTGCAATAGTAAGAGGAGGGAATAGGGGGGCATGTGTGGCAAGATAGTAACCTAAACTTAGTCATCTTAGAGTGGTCCCGGGCTTGCCTATGGGCACTGCTTCAAGGGAACAATAACAGAAAGGAATGGGCCCTATTTGGGGTGAGTCAGACTATGCAGTCTGGCTGCTCTAGATGGCTGATGTTAGGGAGAATAACCTCTGACCCACTTTCGCTGCCTAGTGAACAGTCATTCTCAAGCCAAATCTGGCATATATTTTGGGGAGACAATTTAAGAGAAATCCCTCTGTTCCTCACACCCAGCATCTTTCTGTTTCTCTTGGGAACTCCACGTGTACATCTCTAATTGCATGACATATGTTTCCTTCTGGATGTCCTGTCTGCAGAACTTGACATTGCTGAAATCAGCTTTCAGTTTTCCTCCCTGTTCCCACGAATGACAAAAACCCTTTCCCAGTTTGCATTGCTCACCCACCCATTGCCACTGAGTCTGACTGATTGATAGTGATGCTACTGGGCAGAGTAAAACTGCCAGTAATTTTTTAAGGAGCAGACTGTCAAATATTTCTCTGACAGCGTGCTTGGTGCCCTATAACTGCTGAACTTTCGGGTTAGCAGTGCTTAAACTGTGTCCCCTCTGTGCAGGGGTACTACCTATGAAATATCATTGTTGCTAGTTGCTGCCTAGTGAGTATCTCATAAGCATCCACACTCTTTCAACCAAAGATAGTAATAGAACAAATCCACTGCCCGTTGAGTTGACTCTCACTCATAGTAACCCTATCGGACGGAGTAGGAGACCGTGCTCCGTGTAGTTAATGGAAGTCGAAGGTCACATCTTACTACTGGTAAGGTGGGCTCCACCTTCTTACCACATGTTCGCAGTTGAGCTTTTTAACCTGTGCACTACCTGGGCTCCTCCTACTAGAGCTTACTATATTTCAGGCACTGTGTTAACAAGCACACACCTTTATTACATAAATTATTAGTTAATCCTCCCTATTGTGTTCTGCGGGAGTTCCTTTTGCATGTGAGGAATTTCAGGGTTACTGAAGGAGAAAAAAGGGCTTTCTATTCTCTTAAAGAGCTACCGTCTTGGAAGTGTGCAGTGACAATTCTGCCGAGTCAGCATCAATTCATTGGCAGTGAGTTTGGTTTTTTGATTTTTGCAGGATAAGAAATTTGCCCTGGACATCCCACTTCTTGGTTCTTCCAGTGCAATACATCAGACCTCAAAGTGTTATCAGCTAAAGTACACATATAAATTACAGAGCTACAATGACTGCCTTTTACCTAATGAATAGAGAGCTAATGGCAGTATTATTTCCTACCACTCACTTTCTAGGCCTTCCAAAATAAGACCCCTTACCTTTCCAGTGTTCTATCCTCTTCCTTCTATGTATGTGCTGTTTTGACCAAACCTGAACGATGTGCTTTTTCCTAAGATAGCATGTATTTTCTGAGTATTTTTGCCCAAACTATTGGCCTTTTAAACCCGGAATGGCTACCTCCTTGTCATTGTAACTAACTTTTAAAACCAAACTCAAAAATAACTGCCTCCATGGAATCTTTAAGACTGATTCCTTTAGGCCAGGGGTAGAGAACCATTTTTTCTGCCAAAGGGCCATTTGGATACTTATAACATTATGGGCCATACAAAATTATCTACTTAAAATTTATCCTACTATATTTAGTCATCACTTATAGGACAGAGTATAACCGCCTCTGTGAGTTTTTGACTGTAAATTTTTATGAGCGTAGAAACCTCATCTTTCTCCCACAGAGTGACTGATGGTTTGAATCTGCTGAGTTCTAACCTGCTGAGTTTGGGTCAGCAGCCCAAAGGGTAACTCACTGCACTGTCAGGACTCCTGGACCCAGTCCTGTAAGGTCGCTGTGAGTCCTAACTGACGCAGTGCCAGTGAGTTTGGAGGCTTGGATATTTGGTCAAACATTTAATTAACTCCCCTAAATGTGATGGCTGGAGCGACTTCTCTTAGGTGAATGAGGCCTGTGATGTTAGCTGGCATTGGTGATTTCAGGGCTTCAAGTAGCCATTCCCTACCCTTGCCCGAGGCAAGATAATCTCTTCTTCCTTTGTGGCCTCCCTGTAACATCATGTGCTTTCTTCACCATCGACATTTGCCCTTCTATCACTAAGTGATCCTGTTTGTGCTTTTCTTATCCTTCCTGGATTGTGATCTCCTTAAGGAACGGTGTCTTAGGCACCTTTTTATCACAGTGCCTTGTGTGTATAAAAAATAACAACTGGAAATAAGTGACTGGGCAATAGTGCATCCCATTAAGAAGTAGATGCTTAAGACTTGTGGATATAATTACTTTTGAAATAGTATGTTTATATAACTGGCTGTATAGGATTCAGGTTGATATTTAACATTTCTTAAAATTGTAGATTAGGGCACCTTATTTTGTTAAAAGACCCTTAGCCTTTACAAACTCAAAATTGTAATGTTTAAAAAATATATTTTTTAAAATTAAACATAGCTTTAGGGAAAGTATAGAATTTGATTGTTTCCTAAATTCCATTAAAGTGTATAGGTGTGGATATAGACCATACAATTGAGTCAGTTTTAGGGGGAAAAAAACCTGACTTTAGTGTTTTAAACCCAAGAACATAAGTTTTGACTAATAGTGACCCTACATAGGGTATCTGAAATTATAAATCTTTATGGGAACACATAGCCTCGTATTTCTCCCATGGAATGACTGGTGGGTTTAAACCAATCACCTTGTAGTTAGTAGTCCAGCACATATCTACACTGCTACCAGGGATGCTTTAGTTATGATTATTTAATCTTTTGACAAACTAGCAGATTTTGTCTGGCATATATAGTCATAATTATTTTGTTGGTGGAGAAGCACAACTAACTTGTGTATTCCCCATATCTCAGTTGGGTTTAAAAAGAAACCTGATGTTAATACAAAAGGATAGCAATATTTATGTGTATTTTTTATTATCTGTACTCTTTCATAGAAGGATCCTGCTTATTTTTATGGATATGTGTATTTCCGACAAGTTCGAGATAAAACGTTAAAAAGAGGCTACTTTCAGAAGGTAACTTTTAGTTATACTAATTAATACAAGAAGTACTTTTTAATAAAATATTTGGATTAGAGAAATAGAAGCTGATAATTTAAAATGTTTCAATATATTTTTAAAAACATAGAATTTGTATTTTATTTTTGCCTTTAACATTGTGTATATCTGTCCCTAGATTTTGAACTGCTACTGAATTTTTACCCTTCTGGTATTTCTGTGCTAGAATCCTGTTAATAAATTACAGTTACTATAATAACTGTCAAAACTAGAAGGGTATGCCTAATTTTGATATTTTAGAATAAGGGAAAGACTAAAAAAGTGGTAATATTATTACCGCTAATGAAAGCCTGTAATAAATAAGCTTTAGTAACACTCTTTTTTTTTTTTAATTATCCATATTCTTTTTTTAAAAAATCATTTTATTAGGGACTCATACAACTCTTATCACAATCCATACATATATCAACTGTGTAAAGCACATTTACATTCATTCTTTTTTTCTATTTAAATATACAATGCTTTTCTTTCTTTAAAATAAACAATTAAATCAGTTGCTATTTAATCTCACCTAAAGGGAACACATTCTTTGCTTTTTGTAACCGGAATTTGCCTCAAGCACCATTGACTACTACATAGTGACCAAACCATAGTGTTGCAATGTATAAGTATTTAAAAGTTGATCTTTAAAATCTAACAATGATAGATCTTAATTTGCAAAATCCTCATAGTCTCCTCCTTTTTTTTTTGTAATTTTTTTTAGTCTCCTTGTTAGGAAAAGCTTATTTGATTAATTTCTGATGTTGTTTTGCTAATGACAATAAGTAGCTAGAGTTTATAAATTATTCATGGCATTGCTCTGTTTAAGGGAAATATGTTTTTCCTAGTGAAAAGGGAAGTTTATATTTTTATGCTGTTGAAGTGTATGATGAACGAGGCTAAACTTTTTGCATTCTGCAGTTACAGTTCGATGTTTTCTTTTAAATATCCAGCATAAAAAGCTTTGTATTTCAAAATCCACACCTATTGGTGAATATGGCTTGTTAGTAATTGCTCATTTGGGAATGAAGGCAGACTTAAAATATGACCATGAATAATTAAAATCATTGTTTCTTTTTCTCCTCCAGTCCTTGGTTTTGATCAGCAAGCTACCGTATATTCATTTTTTTCACACTGTACTAAAACAGATAGCACCAGAGTATTTTGAAAAGAGTGAACCTTATTTGGAAGCAGGTAAGTTAAACATGTGTAAGTTAGGCGAGGGTTATGAAAGAGCTTTTGAAAGCATACTAGAAAATAAGTAAGAATTTAAGGTCGATAGAGAAAAGTGTTGCATGTTTACCTACAAACACGAGAGATGATAATTTTTGTTATCATTTCTTATAATATCTTATTGCCCTGGAGTTCATTATGATTTACAGCGATGCTGTAGCACAGAGCAGACTTGCACCATAGGGTTTGCAAGGCTGTAAATCTGTGTAGAAGCAGACTGCTGTATCTGTCTCTTGAGGAGCCTCGGCTGAATTTAAACACAGATCTTTCGGTTAGCAGCTGAGCAATTAACCACTGCGGCATCTGGGTTCATTTGTTTTATAGCATACAGGCGTTGTATTTATTGAGTTAATAATACCCAGATATTTAATTACTTGGTGCCATAAAAGAGAAATCTTGATATCACTTAATTAAGAAAGAAGACTTTAGCCAGGTGGTATTTCTTTGTAGCAAATTGTAATTATATAAATGGAACACTCCCTTCAAACCCAATTTAATTAGTTTCTAGATGACTTATTAACCAATTTGTACCCTAGAATATATATGTTTCCAAATGAAGTATAGGATAGTTTTCTCACTTTTCATTTTCCCTTTGATCCTTTCCAATATGTGCTTATATACAGGTGTATGTATATATATGTGTGCTTATATGTGTTTAACCCAAACAAAACAGGAAAATGTATTTAAATTGTTTTACAGAATAACCTTATCACCTTCAAAGCACTCTCTACTACACTTAATACATTTGTCAAATCTGTGATTTTTCAAACTCATCTGTTTGGATGGCTGACAGCACCTACCTCACATTTTTCTTTACCTCTTGTACATCAAATAACTGTCCTTTTATGTCCCTCTTCATATGTGACAAAAAGAAGCTACACAGAGTGAGGTGAGGTGTGTGGGCCAAGAGAGGCATGCTGTTTTTTGCCCAAAACTGGCACACTGAGTAGGTGCATTGTCATGGTAGCAAAACCAGTCTCCCATCTGCCACAAACCAGAACTTTTTTGTTGCACACCATTACACAATTTTTCCAGAACCTCTAAATAGAAAACTTGATGAACAACAGTCTTACCTGGTGGACTCCAAATGCATGCTTCTATTTCACATCAGTGGAGTTTTTCCCTGGTTTTTTTTTGGGGGGTGTGTGGAATTACCCCCTCATATATGTATACATATATGTAAACATTTTGATTAGGATGAAGGTTTACAGAGCAAATTAGTTTCCCACTCAACAATTTAGACACATTGTGTTTTGTGACATTAGTTGTAAACTTGTCATTGTGACAACACTCTTCCCCTTACCTCCTTGGCTTAGTTGTTTCCAATTGACCTTCTTTCCTGTCCCTTCTCACTTTCTGGGACATTTGTTTTGGGGCAAATGCTGCCCTGTTGGCAGATGGCAGTGGTTGATCCAGTGTATTTTTGCTTAAACCATAGACAGTTGAATATAAAATTTTAATGTTCCATTTTTAATATTTCCACTTACACTAAGGAAATATATTGTGTTTTCCAGCTTGTAACGATGTGGATCGGTGGCCTGCTCCGGTGCCAGGAAAAACATTACACCTGCCTATCATGGGGGTGGTAATGAAGGTAAGTAAGTTATCATCTGTGCCTCATTTGTTTCCTACAGAACAGCTGGGTTTTGTTTTTATTTTTTTTAATTTTAAAATCATTTTATTGTGGGCTCGTACAACTCTTATCACAATCCATGCATCCATCCATTATGTCAAGCACATTTCTACATTTGTTGCCAACCATCATCCTCAAAACATTTGCTTTCTATTTGAGCCCGTGGTATCAGCTCATTTTTCCTCTTCCTTCCCACTCCCCCTACCCATGAACCTCTGATTATTTATAAGTTATTATTTTGTCATGTCTTATACTGTCCGACGTCTCTCTTCGCCCACTTTTCTGTTGTCCGTCTCCCAGGGAGGGGGTTATATGTAGTTCCTTGTAATCGGTTTCCTCTTTTTCCCTCACTTTCCCTCTACCCTCCCAGTATCACCATTCTCACCACTGGTCCTGAGGGGTTCAACTGTTCCGGATTCCCTGTGTTTCCAGTTCCTATCCGTACCAGTTTATATCCTCTGGTCTAGCTGGATTTGTAAAGTAGAATTGGGATCATCATAGTGGGGTGGAGGAAGCATTAATGAACTAGAGGAAAGTTGTATATTTCATCATTGCTACACTGCATCCTGACTGGCTGGTCTCCTTGCAGCTCTTCTGTAAGGGGATGTCCGGTTGCCTACAGTTGGGCTTTGGGTCCCCAATCTGCACTCCCCTCATTCACAATGATAAGATTTTTTGTTCTTTGATGCCTGCTACCTGATCCCATGGGCACCTCATGATCACACAGGCAGGTGTGCTTCTTCCATGTGGGCTTTGTTGTTTCTGAGCTAGATGACCACTTGTTTACCTTCAAACCTTTAAGACCCCAGATACTATATCTTTTGATAGCAGGGCACCATTAACTTTCTTTGCCACATTTGCTTATGCACCCTCTTTGTCTTCATTGTGGGCTTTGTTTTTAACTTCATATTTTAACTCTTTATTTTGTTTTCACTCTATTATTAATGTGAAGAGTTAGCACTATTGATCCTGCTGCACTTTCAGGGACCATCAGCCCCATTGCATCCTGTGGCGTTTGCACCAAGGTGTCATTTGTATACCATGCAAGGACTGTATATTATCTCCTATGGATTTGTCATGTCTTGTCAAGCCAAGCATGTTCATCCCAGGGTATTTTTCTCTACTGAGTTTTTTAAAATAAATTACCAATTGCTCTCAGGCTTTGTATAATTATATATTCCAGTGATTGTGAAATTCATTATCCAATTGCCAGACTTATTTTTGGCAATGCTCCCTTTAGATGGGCTTATTTCTGTAGTTCTGCATTCTGCTTTTCCCTAGGAAGTCATCAAAAGTAGTACTGATAGCTCTGTGTTAGGATTTCTTATGATTTCCTGGGAGGTTTATCCCCAAGTCTGGCAAGTTTGAAGAGGATGTATTTGGGTGTGTCTCTGCTCATGAAGCAAAGATTGGAACAATAAACAGGAAACAGTATGAAATTGATGTCCTTTTTCCCCCCAGTGCATTTGTTTTTCTTGATTAATGGTTTCTTTGTGCTTGGAAGTGTGGAGACGCTTGATTCACTTATCTTCTGTGGTGACTAAAAAGAAATAGGACCTTAGTGTTTTAAAATAAGGCATGAAGATTTTGTTTTCAGGGCTGTTTTAGACATTGTTGAGTGTACCCTTTTAGCAGGTTAGAGTACTTTTGATCCCATTAATAGGACTCAGACTCACTCATCACCACTCAGTGCCATCAAGTCAGTTCTCACTCACCGCTGCCTGATAAGACAGAGTAGAAGTGCTCTGTGTGGAAGCAGACAGCCTTGTCTTTCTCCCTCTGAGAAGCTAGTGGATTCAAAATAACCTTGTGGTTAGCATCTAGACTAGCAAATTACAAAAACGTGCCCTGTGGACACATTCTTTCATAGTTAGAACAGTTTCTCTCTCTTTTTTAAAAAAAATTATTGGGGACTCGTACAACTCTTATCACAATCCATCCATCCATCCATTGTGTCAAGCACATCTGTACATTTGTTGCCCTCATCATTCTCAAAATCTTCTGTTTCTCTTTAAGGTGCGGATCCCAACATGCCATGACAAGCCTGGAACAACTCAAGTAGTGCAGTTCACTCAGCAGGTAGTAGAAAGATCCACCATACATGGTCTCCCTAGTGGAATTTTTAAACTAACACAATTTCTTGAGTTTAAAGATGTCTTAATATTACTGGCATATTCCATTAAATAATTTTTTAATGAATTAATAGCAAATTGCCTAGTATTTCTTGGGTTTTGTGCTTGCTCTTTTTCCCCCCCAGGGAACTCACATTTTATGTAGTAATAAAGCAAAGGGATGTAAGTCTTATTTCAGCAAACTTCCGACTTAGCAAAATCATCCATCTGCCTTATGGAGAGTGGCCAGTATGTTTTGTTTTTAGGAAATGCAGGCAAATGTATTTTGTAATTATAATTGCCTTTCTTTCTTCCTTTTCTCCTTAAGCTACATCTGCTCATGGGTGGGGCTAATTTTTATTTAAAATATTTTACTGGTATATTAAAACCCACTTTTATTTCCTCTTTGTTTTTTGAATTGAATAAAATGGGAGAGCATTTGGAAACCCCATTTGTCTCTTAACATATGTCAGCTAATATTAAGGTGATGGTTTATACAGTTGGGAATTAACCTGACTTTTGGATTACTGCTTTATCCATGGAATGCGTGTAGTCCTTGAAACTTCTTGACATTTCAAAGAGAGAAGATTGGTAAGATTAACTCTTTGCTTTGCTGCTTTTTGAGGAAAAGACTCTTAAAAAGGGGAACTTTAAGCAACACGGCTTGCTTATCATGAGACAGCTAGGGTTTTAAAAAATACTGTCTGCACATTTTTGTGACATCTTCTCGACTAGCTTTTCTTTTCTGTCATAGGCACACACACACATACCTGTTATTTTGCCTACTGTTCACGAAGTGGATCTTTTCGGGTAAATATTAAAATATTTTGTTAATAGTACCTTTTCTTTTGTGATATTGATGTTAGTTTTTTTAGAAAATGAATGTTCTCATAGTGGATGTAGAAAAACTGGAAGAAAACAGTCAATATGTCCCACAAGCTATGAAGCAGTGGTTCAGTTCCAACAGCCTGATCCCTGTTTTGGCGTGTGTATTTGGGTATGGATTAGGTATTACATGATACAAACAAATTACTATTTGCTTGCTTTGTGGTGAGAATGGGATTGCACTTTTAAAGCAAGATGTATTTTAAAGTACCATATATACTTGTGTATAAGCCGAGTTTCAGCATATTTTTTATGTAATTTTTGTGGCAAAATTGGGTACCTCAGCTGTTATTCAGCTCGACTTATACTCGAGTATATGCAGTATGTAGGAGTGAAATGACATGAAGCTTATATATTTTTAAAATATAAATAAGAAAAAAATGAACTGAATAAAGGCAAGCTATTGTTATTATTCTAAGCGATATGAATATGGAAATTCTTACACTACAGGGAACTTCAAAGTCACCGAAAAATTCCATTATCTTCTAATTCCAATTTTTTCCATGGACTTTTTGAAGCCATTGAGTATTGTCATTACTGTCCTGCGTGTTTGAATGTTTTCAAAATTCAAAATATAAAGAGAGATACTAGAAAAAAAAAACAGAGAGAGATACTAGCACTTAAAAAAACAAAGGAAAAAATACTGATACGGTTGGATTGATGCCAGTTTCCAGTTCCCCAGGTGATTCTGACCCAGCTTAGGAACTGTGCTACCAACGAGCACTGACTGAGTTCTCATACACTGTCTGGTGGCAGGTGAAATGCAAGCGTGTGTGGGGTTCTTTGGTCTGTCTGTTTCTAGTGACTTCTAGACTACTTAGGAGTCTGTATGTGGGATACTGTTTCCAAGATTTATTTGTTTGGAATCTCTTACATGCTGAATCCTAGCACAACTCTGCAAGCCTATGTCTTGGTATTTATGCAGGAAAAAGGAGAGCGTGTCCACAGAAAGATCTATATACAAATGTTGATAGCAGTCTTAGGTGTAATAGCCTAAAATTGGAAAGATCCCCAATGTCTACCCGCTGGTAAATGGATAAGCATAACGTGGCACCTGTCTGTACATGGAGTACTATTTAACAATAATGAAAAATAAAAAGAATGAGCTATTGATACATGCAACATGAATAACTCTCAGAAACATTATGCTCAGCAAAAGAAGCCAGATTTTAAAAACTACTTAACTGAATGATTCTATTTATGTGACATCCTGGAAAAGGCAAGACTAGGGACACATATCCACGTAATAATTGCCTGACAGTGGGGAGGAGAAATCAATAGTAAGAGGAGAAGAGGGAAATTTGGGGAGTGGTGGGAACAATTCTTTAGTACTGATTATGTGATTGTATGTGCTTATTGAAAATATTAACTCATTGAACTATATACCTAACTAGGGTGAGTTTTACTCTCTTTAAAATATAATCCTGACTTTAAAAATAAATTCATTTTATTTAAAAGATCATATTTGGTAGTATTGAAAAGAGGTAATGTTCCCAGAGCTTGAAATTAAGTGTCGCGAGGGAAATGTATGAAAAAGATTGCATACCTCACTAGTTTGTTGCTTGGTTCACCAAGGAGTAAGCTGCAGAGTTGGTCCAAGTTACTACAGAATGCAGTTATTACACATTTTTCTTTTGAATATTTAGGTCTGCATTTTAAGCTTTTTGTTATCTGTAGCATTGTGATTAATTACTCCCACCACTAACACTGTTGACTAGGTCCCTTAATGGTGCAAATGATTTGCACTCAACCACTAACAAGGTTGGCTGTTTGAAGCCACTATGTGATATTACAGAAACCAGTGAGATCTGCTTTTGTAAGTATTAAAAGCAAAAATATCCCATGGCACGATTTTGTTGTGTAACTTGCGAGGTTGGCCCGAGTCAGAATTGCCTTGATGGCAGCGGTGGTGGTGGTTTCTAAACACCTTTGATTAGCCTGTGTCTTTTCTCCTAATGATGGTTTACATACTATTCTTTCCCAATAGGAAAAGTCTGTTGTTTCTTAACTGTTTTTCCTCGGTAGATGAGAAAACTTAGCTTTGAAAAAGATTAACCACATGTAGAGCCAGTACTATGCCGAACATTTAATATCTAGTGATTGAATTAATGCTTTATTCATGACAATAGTCTTTATTTTGTGTGTAGAGCTTCCATTTTGCATTTATTAGTTTAAATGTGTCACATAGATAATTTTTAAACAACAGACTTACAGATAAGGGCAAGTACTGTGCCCAAACCTTTCTTTCTTTCCTTTTTTCCCCACTGAGCCATTTGTTAGCAAGTTACAGGTATGACACTCCTTTCCCCACTGAATACTTTGGTGTCTGTTTGTACAAACAAGGAATGCTTTCTGTATAGCCTCAATGCAACCACCAAAGTTGAAGGGATGAGCGTGGGTAAATTGTTATCTTCTAATCCTCAGGTTATGTTCAGGTGTCACCAGCTGTCATGATAATATCCAATTCAAAACCTTGCTTGCATTGAAGTGTCATATCTGTTTAATCTCAGTCCTTCCTATGATTGGGCATTCTTCCCTATTCCTCTTTCCTTATCCTTTCCTGTTACAGGACAGACCGTTTCATCTGTTTGGCGGTGGTTTTCATTGACCACCTTTTGAGCTTTCTCAGGTTCATCTGATATGTCCTCAGTAGATGAATTGTTGGAAGGGAGGCGGCTCCCACGTGTGAGTTACCTCATCATGGATGACGTTCACATTGCTCTCTTGATTGACGTGGCATCCTTCTCTTTCCCTCTAGTATTTTGTGGGGTTGTACTTGAAGGCTCTTATGTTTCAGTTACCTGTTGTGTGATTTATTGACCCAGTACTTAGGGCCTTAAGAGAGCAAGTACTGAGGATTGAGAAGCTGGTAGCATCTTAGCCGGGGCATCCTGGTTCAGTCGTTCAGGAGGTTTTAAGTCAGGATGCAGCTGTGGTTTCCGTCAGTTGGGTAGGTTAGGCTGCAGGTACTGACTGGAGCAAGAGGATCTGCTTCTCTAGAAGTGTCACATCTGCTGTGTGTTGGGTGGAAACCTCCGTTTTCAGGTGAGTGAGAATTCTGCATATGGACTGCTTGAGCGTTCTCACTCTGGGCCATCTCACTCTACTTTAGAGAGGGCTGAAGCCCCACTGTCTTTTGTTTATGACCCAGGCTTTGAAGTTGCATGTTGTACTTTCACCTTTTTCTAGTCGTTAGAAGAAGCAAATCACTAAGTCCAGCCCATACTTAAGCAAGGTAGATTAGGTTGTTTTGTTTATAATCATTTATTGGGGGCTGTTACATCTCTTAAAACAATCCATACATCAATTGTATCAAGCACTTTTTGGTATATAAGTTGCCATCATTATTTTCAAAACATTTTCTTTCTACTTTAGCCCTTGGTATTAACTCCTCTTTTTTCCCTCCCTCCCCACCCATCCCACCCGCATGACCCCTTGATAAATGACAAATTATTTTGGTAAATTAGGTTTTATATTTGAAGGGAGTATAAGAAATTTGTGGTCATGATATATTCACTATGTAATTCTAGAACATTTTTCATCATCTTAAAAGTAACCTCTTAAAAAAAAAAAAAAAAGTAACCTCTTAATTCTCAATCCTCCCTCCAGCCTCTGGCAGTCATAATACTATCTTTTTGGGTTTTTTTGTATTTGTTTGGTGTAGACATTTTCTGCAAATGAAATCATACAATATGAGGAATTTTGTGTCTAGCTTTTTTCCCTTCGCCTTATTTTCAAGGCTTATCCATGTTGAAATGTGGGTCATTAGTTCATTCATTTTTGTGACTAAATAACACCCCATTGTATGGATGCCCTACATTTTCTTTGTCTATTCTGCAGTGGTTTCTCCTTTTAACTCGCATGAAAAATCTGCTATTAACATATTTTCAACTCTTAGGATAAGACTTACTTTGAAATTTTTTCCTGTTCCTATTTGTAATGAGCCATTTCTCTAAGAAACTGGTTCTTTTTAGAGAGTAGGATGTAGAAGCCAAGATCTGTACAGTAGATGTACTCAATGCTATTGGGATATTGCCTTTACACCTTTTTAATATGGGCTGGTGTGTGTGTATAAATGCATAATTACAAAGGGGCTCCCAAAAGTTAATAGAAAAATTCCATTATCTTTTAATTCCATTTTCCCAAAAACTATTTGAAGCCCCCTCAAATATAGCACTACATTTTATACATACACATACCCATTTACTTCTATACTAACACATGTAATCACTCCATTTCCATTTCAATTCCACACACCAGAGTTCATTGTCATTTTCTTCTTTAAAAATAAAAAAAGTTAAATTGGCACTTCATCCATGTCATACAATTCAGTAGTTCAGCCATACCAGGGAGAGTTGTACAATCTTTACCACTATCAATTTTGGAACTCCCCCCCCCCCCCATACTCAGTGTTATTCATGTACTCCCCCGCCCCCCAATTTTGGCAAACATATTCACAACAGAACACTCTCCAAATCATTGTCATTTTCTTCCTTTCCATATTTGTATTTCCCTTCTCTGGCTAAGAAACTACCTTCTAGTATCCTTAACTGAGTTACTTTTTTGACCAGCTGCATTGTTTGTCATCAGTCTCACTTCTCAGCTGCAATCTCTTCCCTGAGCAAACATCTTTCTAACCCTTCTTTGGATTCCACAGCCTATACCCAACTGCCTATCTGCATGGACAAGCTCCTTCTCTGGCTCAGGGTCTGACTCCCCATGCGGGGTTGACCCACAGGAATTTCCTTCTCCTTTATTAGACTTCTACGTCCCACTCCAGGCTCTCTCTCCATATGAATGCCACCCTCACCTTGAATGGTCACCCCCAAAACTGCCCATGTCCGGCAAACCCCACTTGAATGCCCTCATTCCTCCACTTGTTATACATGTTCCTTTACTCCAGGCCACTTCTCAGGGGATGACTTCACCGCTGCTTGAATACCTTGTTCCAGGTGGTACCATCCATGGGCACTTCTTCATCCCATTCTTTTTTTGATACTCTAAACCAGGCATCCCCTTCATGGAATGTTTTCCTCATGCTTCCTGGACTCTGTTATCCCAAGCCAAACCAGCCCCCCACAGGGACACATTCCTGTCCATGTTTGGGCTCCAACCACAGGCCACCTCTCCATGTGGACACCCAGCGTACCTTGCACAAGCTCTGAAATCCTGCTTAGGGCCAGTGTGGTTCCCTTTCCCTCTGGCAGAGATACTTGCCTTCTTCTGTTTTAGAATTGAATTGTTTAGGAAGGAAGGAAGAGGAAGACTCCTTTCTCTTATCCTTGAACTTTTTTTTCTTTTATTTCCTCACATTTGTCCATTTGCTTTTGAATCATTAAAATTAGGTTCCCTAATTTCCATTGCACAATTTGCTTTATCTTTTTGCACTTGTGTGGATGTGTATTTTTCTGGGTGGATTGATTATGATATATATAATATATATGTATATATTATATATATATTTCATTAATTATTTTTCTCTACCTCTATAATCTATTTTTAAAATGTGTGCTCCTACTAGGAAGAAATTTCTAAATGAGTAAAAGTTGCCAGGGTCTAGGTCTTTGTAGTATACTCGTATGATAGTCCTCATAAGCCTTTTCCTATTCCCAGGACAACTATAAAAATTTGCAGCATTTGATGCTCTCATGAAAAGATCACTGAGGATGTGGGTGCTATAGCAAAGTGTGGTGAAGAAGATCAGACAGTGCCCAGCTATCAGAAAAATAAGGTGTGAGGTCTTAAAGGCTTGTCTTAAAACAAGCAGCCATCTAAGTGAGGTTATCAGTTAAGTCCGCATGGAAGAAGTACACCAGGCTGTGTGATCCAAGAATTGTAAACAGTAAATTCTAAGTTCAGAGTAAATAATGGTATTAGAACTTAAATTCGAAACACCCAGTTTTTGGAATGCTAGGGATGGCAGTGGAAGCCCAGAATCCATTTGCAGGGTCTCTACGTGGATTATGTCTGTGGTGAATCCCCAATCTCCTCAGACCATGTACTCCAGGGAGGTGAATAGCCTTAATATCAGAGAGCATTCTAACATGGATTTTGGTAGATTTAGTTAGGCTGAAATGTAACACTTTGTTATTTGATGTCCCTTTGACCCATTTTAAATTTGTTCCAATTTTTTAATACTTTCCGCTTTCTTTTCAATTGAGGTTTTTCTTTGTTATTTCATTATTGCCATTTAGTTGTGTATGTGTGTTTGTGTTTTCCTTTGTTTTGTGTGTGTTTCTATATAGGGAATCCAGGGCATGTTAGTGTGTAGAAACAGTAACTGGATTAATAATTTCCTAGGGCATGTAGGGAGAAAAATGTGGCTTTCTATTCCTGTGTAGAGTTAGACCCACAGGGGTAGTTTTACCCTCTCCTACAGGGTCACTGTGAGTCAGAATGGACTCAGTGGCAGTGACTTTGGTTTTGGTTTCTGAAAATCATGGAAGGAGAAGTGAGGGGAGGGAGTGGGGAGTCAACAATGGTGAGTAAAAGAAAGCATTCCTAAAATTGATTGTGGTGCTGATTTGTACAACTCTTCTTAATATGGTTGTAGAATTATAATCATATAATGTGTGAATTATATCTCAATAAAACTTTTTAATTTGCAGCATTTCAGAAAGGAAAGTGTCTGCCCAGGAAATATTGTGTTGTTTGGTGTTAGTACCTTCTCTCCCGATTTGTTTCCCTTGTTATTTTAATGAAATAGTGTATCAGATCAAAAGCATCAGCTTTTAAAAATACACACCCTTTGGAAAATTAATTTTCCAGGTTTCCTTTCAAATAGAATAGAAATTCACACATAGCAAAGCAATATTGATAAACTGAATCTACCTTTTGGTACGGAAATAACTTTTATATTGTTGCTTGTCAGCTATCTTATATGTCAGTAATATTAAGTATATTAACTTAGGTAGAAGTTGAAATAGAATAAAATTGACATGTGCGAGGGGGTCTTAAATATTTGTAGAAATGGGTGTATTAATGGATTGTGGTAAGAGTTGTATGAGCCCCCAGTAAAATTATTTTTTTAAAAATCAGCCATTAAAAAAAATTGTAGAAAATTGAAGTAAAAGATAGTGTGATTCCCCCCACTCCCCGCAAGTAATTGTTTTTATGTGGATAAAAGGGCTTTTTCTCTGTTTCAGTCCGTATATTTTAAAGGCTGTTATTTATCTAATCACGGCTGTATTAGTCCAATACTAGTCCGTAAATTCCTCTTCAGACTCACGTAGCACATGCAATGATGCAGGAAGATCACAGGCCAGTGGGTAGAAGTCTTGTGAATCCAGTGGCAGTGTAAGCAACTCAGTGCTGGCAACGTGTTTCCTCCAGCTCTCTGAGAGTCTCAACAGCAGGAACCGGAAGGCATAGAGAGAGTGAGTCTGGCCTCCAGTGCACTATTTATCTCTGTTGGGCTTCCAAATGAGGTCATCAAGCTGAGACCTGATTGACAGGCTACACTCTCTACCCCTTCACTCAGGTTGATAGGAGATTATGTAACATTAAGAGGAATGTCAATCATTGTAAAAGTTTTAGATTGATTATATAGGAATTTAACAATCAAGATTAAATAAATCACAAGATAATTCTATTTTTAGGTGTTTCTGCCCAGTTTTCCTTCATAGTCAAATGCTGTGGGAGCTGGTACTGTTGGGAGAACCCCTTGTAGTCATGGCACCATCACCATCAGAGTCCTCAGAGACTGTGTTGGCACTTGTTAGGTGAGTATATTTGCCTCCTGGTGGTGATAATGTGCAACACTGTCCTGTGTGATCCTTTCCCACACACATTATTATATCTGACTCACATAAAACACCCCTGTAAGAAAGCTCATAAGAGCCCCATATTATAGGAATAGAGATGTGATTTGGTGTGGACACATGTTTTTGTTGTCCTAAACACTGAGCATACTCATTGACTTATAGGGTAACATTTGTATACGTTAGCAATTGCTAACTGTGACTTGTGTGAATGGCTAATCAAAGACATATGAGGATTCATTAGTAGCGCCAGAATTCCACACTATCATTTTCCCCAAACCTGGTGTTCTTTGTCCATTCCACATTACTTATTTCCATTTTACCCCCCAAGGTTCCCTAAGTGAGTTTACCATTTATTGAAATAAATGATACTGTGTCTGTTT